ACTTCACTTCAGCCTTCTTCGAACGAAGCTTCAATTCTACAGCGGTAGTGCCCTTCTTTGTTTGGCTTCACTTCAGTCTTCTTCGAACGAAGCTCTAACCTTCTTCGATTGACTTCACTCCAGCCTTCTTCGATTGGCTTCAATTCTGCAGCAGTAGTGCCCTTCTTCGTTTGGATTCAACTTGCAGCAGTAGCCTCCTTCGATTGGCTTCAATACTGCCTTCTTCAATTGGCTTCAGCCTGCAGCAGTAGCATCCTTCGATTGGCTTCAAGCTGCAATAGCAACCATCTGGGATTGGCTTCAACCTGCGGCAATATGCAGCCTTCTTTGATTGGCTTCAATTCTGCAGCAGTAGTGCCCTTCTTCGTTCAGCTTTAACCTGCAGCAACAACCTTCTTCGATTGGCCTCAACCTTGCAGCAGCAGTGCCCTCCTTCGTTTGGCTTAAACCTACAATAGCAACCATCTGGGATTGGATTCAACCTGCAGCAACATGTAGCCTTCTTCGATTGGCTTCAATTCTGCAGCAGTAGTGCCCTTCTTCGTTTGGCTTCAACTTGTAGTAACAACCTTCTTCGATTGGCCTCAACCTTGCAGTAGCAGTGCCCTCCTTTGTTTGGCTTCAACCTGAAGTAGCATCCTTCGATTGGCTTCAACCTGTAAGCAGTAACCTTCTTCGAACGAAATTCCTCAGGCTTTGGATTTCGAAGCTATTATCCTTCGAAACTTCATAGATTCTGGACTTTGAAGCTTCACAGACTCTAACCTCTAGCACAAGTGAAACTTGCGCGTAGACTCAATGCAAGGGCTCATGCTCAGATCATTCAAACAAACTCAATTCTCCATTAGATTTAGTAAAATCAAATGCAATCGAAAGCTAGCAAAACACTCTACATCATGTAACTCACGAACTCAATTCTCAAATCATTAATCACGGATTAATAATAAGGCTCATGAAAACTCAAAGAAAATCATTTGTACACAGAATTTCAGAAACTCCACCACATGATTCAAGCATACAAAGACAAATATACATCAGACCTATAGTCCGACCAATAAAACACAATGCACAAGAGCTACATAACTAATTCAAGATTAATAACACAAATCGAAGTCCAAGAAAACTTAACTTGATGAAAAATCTGGAAACTCAAATCTGTTTCTCCAGATGCAAACCAACGCTTCCACTATGATCTACTCACTTCATTGAAGATGAATCAACAAGAAAATGAAAGAATAATCCAGGAAAATGAGAGAATTCGAGAGCTGGACTTCCTGAGAGGAAATTAAACTTCAAATCAAGAACTATTGGAAAATACTGCTCCCTTTCGACTGAGGTTGTAGGATTAAGGAGAGGAGTTGCTTCATGTTCTTGATGATGATGAAGATTTGTTGAAGTTGTTGATGATTTGCAGGGAGATGAAGATGATGTTGATGTTGGATGAAGATGCAAGGAGATGAAGATGATGTTTATGTTGGATGAAGATTTGCAAGGATATGATGAGGATTTTAGAGGTTGAAAATTTTGTTGGAGAATTGATGAAGATTTGAGGAGGTTGAAGATTCAGTCCGAGAAAACTTTTGGTTGAAGATTCAAGGAGAAAGTAGAGAGAAAGAGAGAGCTCTTTTTTGGTGATTCCTCCAACGAATCCATCCTGAATGAGATTGAAAGAGAAATTTTTTTATATAGAAGCAAAAGTTTGTTACAGTTGAAGTGATCCTTGCCTTTGAATCAGAAAATCTAGCTGGAAAATGGATGGTGAGGATCGAAACAATGCCGAAGTTCGTTTGAGATTTATTTAGTTTTCTATGATTTCATCTAAAATTCAAAAAGTGGAAATTGTGTTTTATCCCTTGTAGCTCTTTAATGACCTTGCATCTTGCGTGACATGCCTGATCAACTGAGGATGCCCACTTTCAGCATTCATAACTTGATCAAACCCTAACCATCTCCAATAATTCTTCTCACATCGGAAAGCCAACATGTAATACTTCTAATTAAACCAAAAATCAAATTAAAACCTAGCTTGAGTTACAAGAAAATGGATTGCACATTTGGTGTGCCACCTGCTCGATGAAATTCCTGGGCAAGATGCCTCAGGATGGCCGTGTGCTTGCCCATGATGTCCAACATCTGACCAACTTGCCCAGAACTTCAAAGGCTCATAACTTTTGATTTTGAGCTAGAAGTGTGTTTTTTTCCTCTGTGGGCCCTTGTAGATCTTTTTTCCCTCTTCAATTGGCAAAAAGAACCACCAAAATCCCTTGAAAAATGAGAAAGTTATGCCCTTGCAAAGTCAGGCCAAAATAAAAAACACTTAGTGAAAATTTCAATCACCAAGATAACTTCAAATCCAAGTAACCTCTCAAAATTGTAATTCTCATCAAAACCAATCATCAATGATCATCCTTCATGAAAATACATATCAAATATCTCACGTTGACCAAAAGTTCATTTGGTCAACTTTGACTTTGTTGAGTTTTGAGTAAAATGATTGTTTTTCCCCTTTTGATTCAATTGAACCCTTCTCTTCAAAATTGATGATCAAAACTTCAAACATATGATATTCCAAACACATAGAGGCTATGGAAGGAGTTTCCACTAAAAAATTCCAAAGAATCCATGATTAAAACTCAAACCCTAGTTTTGACGGATGAATCAAAAGGAAGTGATTCTCCATATAACAGCACAATACTCAATCTTCTAATGATCCAATGAAGTGGATAAGATACCTTGAGATATGAGAAACCTTTGGGCTTGAAAGTTCCAGAGGTTTAGATAATAAGGCTCTCCTTGAGCAACTTGTCAATACAATCAATCTTCTAAAGCTTGAGGGAGGCTTGATAAGCCAAAATACCTTGATCCCTACACCATGTATGAATGCAATGCAATATGATGTTTATGATGAAGCATAAGCCTAAATCAAGAGGGTAAATTTTGGGGTGCAACAATATTGGCATCACGCTACGTTACAAGTCCAACCTTTTCCTTGTATTGGCATCACACTATGTTGCAAGTCCAACCTTTTCCTTGTATTGGCATCACGCCATAATACAAGTCCAACCTTTTCCTTGTATTGGCATCACGCCACGTTACAAGTCCAACATTTTCCTTGTATTGGCATCATGCCACGTTACAAGTCTTCTTTATCCTTGTGTTGGCATCATACCACATTACAAGTCCAACCTTTCCTTGTATTGGCATCACGCCACTTACAAGTCTATCTTTGTCCTTATATTTTCCTTGTATTCGCATCACTGCCACGTTACAAGTTAGCCTTTCCTTGCATTGGTGTTGTTGCCACGTTAGATGTCAGCCTTTCTCTTGTATTAGCCTTTATTGCTCTGTTATAAGTCTAATCTCCATCTTGTATTAGCATTGTCGCTATATTAAAAGTTACCCTTAAATCTTTCTCACCAGAAAACCAAATTCTTTTCCCACAAGATATCACAAAAAAATAATGATAATAAACACTCACACTTTCGTTCAGAATAAATTTTTGGCATTGGTATTTAATCATCTTCTACCTCGAACTTCCGAGACGCACGCGTCAATCGTACTTTCAGGTTTAAGATGATTAAATAGGGACAATTGTAATACCCCAAATTTGTCCTACCTTTCTATCAAAAAACATATGTCTTATGCATCACATATTCTGCATATACATTACTTTTTCATTAGGTCGTCTAACACATCATGCATGATCAATAAACTTGGCATTGGGATCCGGGAATTTGCAAATTAGGGTTTTGGTTCAGTGTTTGTGGATTTCTTCTGCCTCAAGATACAAGTTCTTCTCCATCCAATTTCATCAAGGCTTGGTCTTTGGAGTTAAGGGTCATGGAATTAGGGTTTCACATTGCCAGCAGGGTCTCATTTCTTTTGCAGGGTTATTTCAACTGAAGAGACAAAGATCGATGATTAGGGTTTTAAAGATGTCTTGAGCCTTCTTCTTTTATACCTCAAGTCACCCATTTTTCAAGAATTTTAAGGCAAGACTTCTAGGGTTTCATCACTTCTTCTTTTGAGGAGAGATTTCATGGCCAAGGTATCATTATGAGCTTCAAGACTTATCAAAGGAGTTCTTTGAGGGCATTATCCTTGTGTTGAGGTCATTGGTTTGTAAGCTAAGTTTTCACGAGGATTAAATTACCAAAACTTTGGGCCATGACACAAGATATTGAGCTTATGGGTTCTTCTGGACAGAGTAACTTGCAAGTTACTTGTTGCTTGAGGTTTGAGACGACTTCATCCAAGGCATGGTTCAAGTTGTCATTTTCAAAATCATGCAACATCGTTCTTCTTTATAAGGTTGTCAAAAAGTTTCAGTCAACAACGTTCAAGATTGGTATCAAAATTACAAGACATGTTCAAAGTTGGTCATTCATTATACAAGTGGTTATTTTGGTACAAATTGAACAAGTTGGAATAATGATTGCAAAATAACATGATTTGTGAATCCTTTGAGCAATATGATTTTGATTCAAATATTGGAACAAATTAGTTCATGATTTGGTTCATCACGAAGAACCACGAGAGGCGTTATGTATTTCATAAACATGTCAATATCCTGCAAGTGTTCATTTTCAAGTTTCCATCTCAAGGACATTACGTCAAGGAAAGTTCTAGATCCAAGTGACATTAATACGAGAAGCATTCTTTACGAGTGTTACAAAATGTGTCGAGTTACTTATGCTTTCAAGAGTTATCTTATGCCATTCTTTCACATTGCAAGATTGAAATAAGTATTTGAAACATCTAATTAAGAAATGGGGAGAAAGGGAGGGAACTCAAAACTACTTTGAAACGTCACTACATTTACAAAACCACTACCATTACACCATTCCTAATACATTAACACCATTCCAAAATCATCAATACATCACGTACTTTCTCAAAATTACATAGAAATAGTTACAAAACTAGCCTAAGCCTAATTACTTAGCTTTGGTTCCATCTTTTGTCTTCACCATTCCATGATGTTCTCAAATAATCCATGACTAATCTTGACAAATTTTCATGTTTCCCACATTCTCTATGCCCTGCCTAAAGCTTTCATTCATCACCAATAATGATAAACAATATCGGCCTGCATAAACTCCAATCCAAACATGCTCCAATCCAAACATGCTGCCAAGAAAAGTCATGCTCATATCAGTACGGTCCAAAAATTCCAATACATACATATTGTCTACAAGCCTGCTGACCATTCAAAATCTACAACAAATGGACCTGCATTAGTTAAAATACCATATCAACCTCATAATCAGAAACAGAAAACTAGGCTTTAGTCAAAATAGAATAAAATCATAAGGAGGACTTGTGAAAACTAGAAAATATATGCAGAGAAAAAAACCAAATCAGGAAAAACAGAGTAGCAGTATTAACCTCTAGCCATCTGTCAAAACTGATTTTATAACCGAATCTAAACAAACAGAGCTAATTAACCTGTAATAGAATTTTGAGATCCTAATTGTTTTCTAATCTCCTAACTGTCATAACAAACAACTTCAACCTCCTAACCGATTCTGCCAGCTCATCTAACTGTCAAAACAGAATCTAATCTTCTAACTGTCATAACAGAAAACAAAAAAAGAATATAACCAACTCGGCAACCTCTAACAGCTCTAACCTCCTAACTACCTCTAAAAATAAAACTTCCAGTAGCAGAGATCTATAACAGAAAACAGGGAGAAGAAAAGGATTCCGATTCATTAACGATTATGCACACAGAAAATTCAGAGAAAACCAGAAGAAAGCTAGAGAAAAACTCACCTTCAGATTCATTCTCTAGATTTTTTGGGAGAATCACCAAGAAAAACTCAGAGAAAAAAACTCTCTCGCCTCTGCACTGCATCCTCTCTACATCACAACCTTCATCCTCCATCACCGTGATTTTTCTCTGGAATCACATTTCACCATAATCTTTCTTCAACAATCATCGGTCAACATCTTCAATTCGGTTTTTACCACACGCGTCAAATCATTACGACTTCTTCAAGTCCTCTCTCTGGATCAATGATTCAAATCTTTCTCTACTCCCAGCTTCATCACTTCCTCTGCGACGGACACAACAAGAATTCAAATAGGTAATCACATTCGGTGCGGAACAATCGGAATCAAAAAATGTAGAATAAGAAAAGAAAAACAAAATGCTTACATGGAGCAGAGTTAAGAATCGACCTTCGTTATCTCGTTATCTGCTTTGTGTGGCCTGGTAAGAACGAATAGGCTCCGCAGCTTGTGGCGTCACGGAGCGCTGTTGATCGGAAGTTCGGTTCTTGGTAGGCAGTGCAAGCAGAAACTGGAGGTCTTTGTGAAACGAAATTGTGATAAGCAGAGGAACGATTTATAAATCATAGGAGACTAATCATACATTAGATTCTTGATAATACATCTGAGGAAGAATCGATCGGATAAAGAAGGAAGTAATGTCGCTCCTGTTTCGCGGAGAAGAAGAATGGCTGAAGCTGGACAGTCACACAGACACTGAATCCTAATCCTTTTTAAATTTATATTTTTCCTTATAGTTTTATTTCACTTAATATATATTAATAAGTGAGAAAAAAAATCTTGTGGATTGGTGTTGTTGACTGGGCTGAACCCCAAACCCCTTTGCATTGGCCCATGATTTTTTTGTTGACATGTTACAAAGAACAAAACAAAAAATGCTATTGGACTTCATTCTGAAGTGGGCCTAGTGCCCTGCTTCTGCATACCTTTAGAAATAACTTAACATCCCCCTGAACTCTTTACATTTTTATTTTATTTTTCTTTATTAATTTTTTTTATTGGCTTTTGTTAATTTTTATTGTATGACAAAATAACCTAAAAATAGTTAGAATATTTTAGGAAATATTTTAGAATTCTTAGGTTTTATCTTTAGAATTTTATTAGAATTTCTATTATTACTTTTATGTTTGGTAATCCTTTTGTTGTCATTTTTAGCCAATATTTTGTGATAGAATGTCGATGTAACTTTCACAATATGGAATGCTTGGAGATTAATTCTTTGATCACTCGTGAAAACCAGCTTCTATAGAGTTTTATCATCGCTTGCATGGTTTTGAAGAGGTAACAAACCTTCTCCGTTAGGTATCATCGTGGCTTCACTTTTATTCTCCATTTCTGCACTTTACCGCTTTTCTAGAGATCATGAGAAGTGGGGCTTTACTGTTTTCTAATGCCATGATAAGTAGGGTAGAGATGTATGACGGGGATCTCCGTTGCTGATCATGTCAAGAATCCCTCTGGTTTATTTAAAGACTTGTTTAGGGTAATTCCACATTCTGTGCATTCTGTGTGCTATATGTGTTTGTTTAAAACCCTACTTTTTAAGTAGTTGTTGTACCCCAATTTTTGCCCCTAAGATCCCCTCATCATACTATGTTGATTCCATCACAACAAGATCACATTAGGATTCTTATTTCCCCTCCCTATATTTAGCTTTGCTCTTTGAGGAATCACCAAGCACCTTGACTTGTGTTCTTTTGTGATCAGGAATATTTTTGTCTTGATTTCTTCTTTTAATTAAGAAAATGCAATGTTGGTTTGTCTTGCTTGTTACTCATGTAGGTAAAGGCAATGAGATTCAGCAAGTTGCTCCATGCGTTCATGAGTTTATTTCCATGCCCTAGTCAATAAAGCTTCATAAGTTCAAACCTCACCATTGGATTTGTTTTGGAGGAAATGGAATGGCAAGGTTATTTTGGTTCACCACATTTCCTAGTTATCAAATTGATTCAAAAGAACAAGGGGTTGATGAAAGAAGTTGTCATGGTTGGATAAGGTCTTGTTCCCATTGATCAAAAGTGCATATTTATCTCAATTATCAATATATGGAAGTGGTCTTGGTGGCTATGAGTCCTCATTGTCATCCTCAACAACTCCTACTTACAAAGCAAGAGTTTTGGTACAATAAGGTTGTTCAAAATTGTTAAAGTTCCTCAAGGCATTTTTCTTGATCTAGGAGCTAGGGTTTTGAACTTCAAAGAAGCATATCTTACTCATCTTTTGTTATTTTTGAGTGATTCCAAATACATCCTTCTCTTCAAAGGGTTATTAACAAATCACTTCAAACTTTTCAAGGAGTTTTCATGTGGAAGAAACTTGATGATGAAGAAAGATTAAAAGTCCTCTAGATGAACCCTCATTTTCCTATGCGTGACTTCAAATGATCATAACTTGGTCAATTTTTATCACCTTGAGCCTACTCTTTTTCCAAAATGATCTTAAGGATGTGGAATTTATTCCTTATTTTATGTGCAAAGTGAGAAAATAGATGGAAGATTCCCTAAGGATACAAAAGATTATAGGTCATTTCATGATTTTTTGCCAACTTAAAAAATACATAACTCTCTTAATTTTTGGATATTTTTAATGGTTCAAGTTTCAAAATGTCATTCAAGAGGTCTATTTCATGACATATTTTTTGGTCAAGAGAAAATTCCAAGAGGAAGGCCATGTTTGGATGCAAAACATTATAGGTCACTTTTTAAGGAAAAGTTGAAATATTTCTAAGTATGGAAAGTCAACTTCTTTTTTTCCAACTTTGACTCAATGCAACTTTTAGCTCAAGCATCCATTTGATTCCATTCTTTTTCCATTGCAAAGCTTGTAATCTCATCTTTCTAAAGCAACGAGAATCATGCCTTAAGACCCCTTGAGCTGAGAATGCCATTGGATTGAACTTGGTAACTTAGAACTGAAGTTTCTCCATAAGTCATAATTTGAAATCTTTGTTTTGGCTTCTAATCACAAGTTTTCCACGCATTTTTGCCTCTAAACATGTTTAGTGAAGTTCAAGAATTAATTAGCACAACAAAATGCGCGTTTTGGATGAGTTTTGATCAAATTGGAAGTCACACTTTTCTTGTTTGCAACTTCACACGATTTCCCTCCAAACTTCATCATTTTACATGCTTGGACATTCCATTTGATTCCCTATAAATATATGGTCATCCCTCATTCATTTCCTTAAGTTTGGATAGCCAGAATCACCCTGTCAAACTTGTTCCATAACTCAAAATTCAGCTACTTCGAAATCTGCTTTCAAGCCTTTTTCAATCCAATTTTTCCATCAATTCACCTTCATTGATCTTCCCTGAAGCTAATCATATAATGGAATGATCCAATGATATTGTGACAAATATTTATGACCTCACTTATTTTTTATTTCCGACTTTGGTATTTTTTTAAAATCATTTTTGGTTTATTTTACTCATTTCTTTTAATTTTAAAAATAGTTTGTGAGTTAAAAAAAATTACCAAAAAATTTATAAAAATATTTGAGTCCATTTCTGATTTTTCTATGGTCTTACTTTTTATTTCTTGATTAATTTGAACATAGTTAATATTTTTATCCCTTATTTCTATTTTAAATATTTCTAAAACCCTTTTTAATATATATATTAAAATGCAATATTATTTTGTGATTATTTTCTGGCTAATCTTGGGTTGAATTTTTGATCATGAACTTTATTAACATCATTGGATCCATGGTGTTGAGTTTAACTCCACAAAAATGGATGAATGATTTTAATAATAGTTTGATTAAATTTTAATTCAAATGTGGTTTGTATATTCTTTCTCACCCCTCTTCATCACATCCCTTTCTTATTGCACTAAATGTTATTGAAGCATGATCTCTATATCAGTCTCAAAATAAATGGTGCATAGATTGCTATTGACCGACCTCAAAATAGGTGCGACTTCTATATAAGTCCACTTACGATTGCTTAACATAATGCTAAATTTTGTGCTGATTCAAATAAATGATCATTCGTGGCCCAAACCTATGTTTGCAAGACCAAGTATGTTAATTTGATCCCTTTGATCCAATAACCTTGAGATTCATTGTGTGGAGGCTTTGGTTCTACCAATCCTCTAATGGATCTACGACACTTTTGATCAACGCGGATCACTTAAACATCATTGATCATTAAATGGTACTTTTGAGGATTCCAAATGGATGATATACTTGACAAAAAGAAAATGCAACTTGTTGTGTGGAGGCTTTGGTTCTACCAATCCTCTAATGAATTCCAAATGCAAGTTTCAAGATAGTCATCCAACTAACCACTAATTATTAAATTACTTTTACTTTGTGCCCTTTTATTTTTTATGCTTTATGTACCATTTATTTTAGCATTTTACATTTCATGCTATTTTTCATTTTTGTTCATTTGAGCCCATTTACATTCTTGTCATTTTTTATTTTTTTGCTCACTTGAGCTTTACTTTTATTTTTCAAGACACCTGATAATCAACATGAACCCTAAAAATCTTTAATGATACTTGGACTATTTGGTTACTATCCTTGGCATTATGGAGTATGGGACTTCTTGGACTTAGGATTAGAAACCTTGGCCTATGTTGGAGACTTTGTAACCTTAATTGCTATTTTGTCTGGAGTTCTTGAGGTTTACCTCAAGACATTGGGTTGTTTGTTTGTTTTGTGTGCAGGTTATTGTGATTATATTTTTTGTTTGTAATCTGGAATTCATCCGTATACAGTCGTTACTCTGCCCAATTTTTGTGAAGACTTAATACACTTGAAGTCTGGCTCTTTCAAGAGGTCTAGTATCTTTGCTTGCTTGGTTTCAATCCAAAGAATGAGAATTCTATCTTGGCTCATAGTGTCAAGTATTTGCTTCTTGTTGGTTAGATGGTTCCTATCCCTAGCTTTTACCTTATGCATTAGGATAGTCTCTTCTTCTCCTCCCATCTTCTTTAATTTCAAAAATCTTCTTCCTCCTTTTGAAAACTCTTCTTGTTTTTTTTAAACCTGAACCACTTTCATAGTAAACTTGGACTTAGGGCCATGCATTTTCAAAAACCTTTTCACAAGTAAACTTCAATCAACTTAATAATACCTTGACATTTTTG